CTGCTACAACTCTGGCTACTTACTATTAACACTACTACAACGACGAAAGTTACTGCTGCTACTGCTGCTACTACTGCTGCTACTACTACTTCTGCTGCAACATACAATTCATCAAATTGCATTCATTCACAATTACGAAGTTATTTCAGGTATTAATACAAAAAATACAAAAATTTAAGAAGAAATTCAATTAAAAATACGCCAAAAGTTGTACTAACTTCATCTCGTCTGCTGTATGCTGAAAAGTTTTTTGTCAGGTTTTAAACCAACGAATACTTACAAATGTTGCTAGCAGTATTGTCGTCACTTTGAAAGTTAACCCTCAATAATTATATTATCATCATTGTTAACTAGTTTTAGCATTAATTTTTATTTCATTATTATTAAATTTATTATTATTAATTTTATTATTAATATTGTTAATATTAATATATTCAAAAGATCTTGAGTACCGATATCATTACTAAGAATATATTTTTGAAGTTACTACTATTACTGCTGCTACTTCTACTATTACTACTACTACTACTACTACTACTACTACTACTACTACTACTACTACTACTACTACTACTACTACTACTACTACTACTACTACTACTACTATTCGCATAATAATAATAATAATAATAATGAGTAGAAAAAAGTTATTATTATTATTTTTATTACATCTCAAAATCATCTGTCCTTTCGAAGCCATATGCGCGATTCGAACGTTTGGATCGCTTTATATATATAGGAGGACAGCGATGATGACGATGATGATGGTGATGATGATGATGATGATGGTGATGATGATGATGATGATGATGATTGTGATGATGACGATGATGATGGTGATGATGATGATGGTGATGATGATGGTGATGATGATGATGATGATGATGATGATTGTGATGACGACGATGATGATGGTGATGATGATGATGATGATGATGATGGTGATGATGATGATGATGATGATTGTGATGATGACGATGATAATGATGATGATGATGATGGTGGCAATGATTGGGATGGTGGATTAAGATTAAATTGATGAAAATGATAATAATGGTGATAATGGAATTCTTATACATATGACTATAACGACTATGATTGTATTACTATAAACTTATATATGAATATGTATATATATATATATATATATATATATAAACTGATATATAGATATATATGATATATATACTTATATAAAAATATATATTTATACTGATATAGATATATAGCTTATTATCTTTTAATATAAGCCGAATTTGATTGGTTGATGTTTTTTCGTGATATCTTTGCTGTTATTGATGTTGTTGTTGTTGATGATGTTGCTTTTGTTGTTGTTGTTGATGAGGATGTTGTTGTTGTTGTTGCTTATCAGCCTATAGTATTGCCAAAAACACTACTAAGATAACTTTTAAATAATAATAACATAATAATAATTATTATTTTATTGTTATTTTAGTAGTATTATTTAATTATTATTATTATTATTATAATTAATTTTTTTTCTAGCTTCAATTTGCGATTTTGTAAGATTTCATTATTTAAATTGCTAAATTGTATTAGTCATTTATCTGTTCATTCGTTCGTTCGTTCGTTCATTCATTCATTCATTCATTCGTTCGTTCATTCGTTCATTCATTCATTTATTAATTCTATCATCCTCTCTTTTTCTTTCTTTCATTCAACCTGCCTACCATCATAAATCAGGTTTGTTAGCGTTGCCATGGTGATCGCTTTCCGGATAGCTCCAACTTCCGCTCTTATTCATCATCTTTGGTTAGCCATTTGTTATGACGTCATCATCGTGGAAATGATCATCATCATCATCATCATCGTCATCGTCGTCGTCGTTATCTTTGTTGTAACAATCATCTTACACGTCATCATAAACATCATCATTTTCCTCTTCTTCTTCTTCTTCTTCAACTTCCTCAACAGCAGCAGCAATAGCAGCTGCTGCAATAGCAACTCCACCATCATCATCAACATGAGCACCACCTAGTTATTTGGTTGGCTGGATAGAGACCAATTGTCCGCCTCAAGGCGAGATAATTTTTTGTATTCTCGAATTTTTGTATGTTTTTGTATGTTTTGTATGTTTTGTATATCTTGTATACATTTCATCGCGCTTGTTTTTGTGAGATTAAAAATTTTTTTGTTCGTTCCTACATTCATTCATTCATTCACATGATTGTTTGTTCATTTGTTTGCTCGTTCATTAGTTAGTTTGTTTGTTTGTCTGTTCATTCATTGTAAATCATTTGTTTATTGGTTCATTCATTCATTCATTCATTCATTCATTTATTCATTCATTGTTTGTGTTCAAAGCAGCAAATTTTTTGTTTCGCTGGAATTTTTTTATTATTTG